TGTTCACTCTGTAACAAGGCTTTTAGTCATGTTTTACAGTGGGTCATCTCTTAACCCAGTTAAACAAACAAGCTTGCTTAATGAAGCATCTATCATACAAAGAGAAGTTAGGTATTCCTTCCTTCCCAGGAACTTACTTTATACTAGGAGAAGGATGAATGTAATTACAAAGGAAGGGTTGTTGTTAGTGATATTGGAAGAGGCTCAGTTGAGAAGTGATTCTTGAGTATTAAATTCTGATAGATTTGACTGTACCTAGTGACGGGCATGGTTTCAGGTAGAGAATGTTGTTTACAGAATTAGAATGAATTTTTGAAATAGCAAGTATTTTGGTGTAGGAGGACCAGGAAATTAGGTCAGAAAAGTGTAACACATCACAGACAGGCGGCCTTACTCACACTTAGGAGTTTGCACCTGATCCAGGCGGCGATAGGAAGGGATTGAAAAATGACGAACAGGGAGTTAATATTTTCAAGTTTGTACTTCAGAAGGATTTCTGATAAGATGATCAATTTGCGATACCAATTTCTGATAAGATCAATTTGTGGAAAAGGTGACTGTCCCCCTTAAGGGACTCTTACAGTAATCTACGAATTAGAGGATAAAGACTTGAATGAAGAGAGAGGGTATCTGATGGAGCAGGGTGACCAAAGAATGGAGGGAATGAAGTAAAGAATATAGGGTGGGAGAATTAGCTTAGAGCAACAAAAGATACTTTAATCTCTAAAATTATAGAATAGTTCAGGATGGGTGGATGTGTTTATAGGTGTAAGAGATTTATCATTCAACAAATAAATTGATTACCCTTTGCCTAGAGTCTTGGGAAGAGTGGTGATCATGGGGGGAAAAATGCTGTGGGGAGTGAAAGTAAATTTACATCGGTAAAAAATTTCGAGTTGAGGGATGGTTGTAGTACCAGTCAGTTACTATGGGATATTTTTTCTAATAGCACTGAGTAGCCCAAAATACGTAGCAGCAGGAAAAAAAAGTAGGTTGGCTTGGTCCATGATAGAGGCTAATTAACATGGGGTGTGTGCTTTGGAAGAATAGTGATGATTACTTTTGGGAGTGCATTATGGGTTTGGGCCTGACAGCTGAGGACATGGAGCCATGGTGGATTGGGAAATGGAGAGAAATCAGCTGATATAAAAGGAACTGTTGGAAAGCCTACAGATGGTTGACTAAAATTATTGGTGTGCGTGCCAGACATAACCAAGAAACTGGCCAATATATCTTATTGTTTTCTTGCCACATAGTTTACATTTCTGTATTGGAGGGAAGTTTTATGTAGAATACCCAGAAAATAGGATTTTAATAAAAAAGTTTTTTAACCACAGATAATGCCACTGGAGTCGTTATTTCTAGTTTCTTTTAAAATAACATTCGTATTTTAAGGATGGAATTAGATGTCACTGTGCTTTTGTTTATACTTGTAGCACTATATAAGTTTGTATTAGCTGAAACTTCTAATGCTTTCAAAAATTGTGGTTCATTTATTAGAGACAAAAAGAAAGAAGACAAAGAAAAGAAACGTTCCAAAACACCACCAAAAAGTTACAGCACAGCCAGACGGTCCAGGAGTGCAAGCAGGTAAGACAGTGTGAATTCTTGGCATTTTTCTCAACTTTGTTTGCCAGGATTTCAGTAGGCTGTGAACCTTAAATGTTTTTGCTAGTACATAGATGCATACTTCATTGTTGACATTTTTTTGAAGGCAGTTTGTGGAGAACAACCTAAAGTTCATCTATTCTGTTTACTTAATATTTATGGTATAGAGTGTATTTAAAATAACATTGAATTCAGCAGAGGTCAGGTTTTATGTTTGCTATATGCATTTTACATCCTGATTATAGTAAGTTATATTTAAAATACCCACATGTTAATACTGAAAAGAATTTTTCTCTGTATCTAGTGGTTCATTGATAAAATCGTGAGAGGCAATGAAAGTTCTAATTTATGTCATTAGATTAGTAATTCTGTCTTTAACCTACCATAGTGAAAATTCAGTGTTGCAAACTTTAGTCCACAGTATATTTTTTCACACTTAACATTAACATTGGAATTTATGTGAAATGAATAAGGACTGGCCATACTTAATTCTGTTTTCTTCCAATCTTGTTTACACGTTTTGCTGCAGTATTTGTTTTCTTAATTTTGATTATTTAAATGCTACGAGGCTTACACTATACACAAAAATTAAAATGGATGAGAGACCTAAATGTAAAGCCTAAAATTAAAAACCTCAGAAGAAAACATAGAAGTAAATCTCCATGACCTTGAATTTGGCAATGGTTTTGTAGATAATGACACCAAAAGCATAAGTAACAAAAGGTAAATATAAATTGGAGGTCATCAAAATTAAAAACTTTAGTGTTTCAAAGAACACTGTCAAGAAAGTAAAGGCAACCCAGAGTGCTAGAAAATAGCAAATTATATACAGTAGTAATACCTTGGTTCACGAACATAATTCGTTCCAGAAACAAACTACTCGTATTGCAAGATATCGCTCGTTTACCATGTTAAAATGTATTAGAAATGTTTGCTCGTTTTGCGGACCACTCGCAAACCAAGTTACTCGCAATCCAAGGTTTTACTGTATCTGAAAAGGGACTTGTATCTAGAACATATAAAGAACTGTTGGGCTGGCCGAGTGATGCGTTGTTTAGGAGTTAGCTTGTAGCGCCAGCTCTGAGCAGCAGGCCCCCAGTTTGGATCCCACATGCGGGCCAGTGATGCTGCGCCCTGTACAACTAAGATGGTGAACTACAGCTCTACCTGGAGCTGGGCTGCGTTGGGGCTAGCCGGCAGCTGGTGTGCGATGAGCCACCTTGAGCGACTGCCTCACCCGGGAAGAACGTATTATAATGATAATACCAACATGGGCCAGTGAAGCCACGTCCTCCACAACTAGGCTGAAGAACAAAAAGACAGCAACCTGTCTGTTCCCTTTCCCCGATTCCCCAATAAAATCTTAGGGAGGGGGACAAAAAAGAACTCTTACAACTCAATCATAGAATAACAGACAACCCAATTAAAAAATAAGCAAAGGATCTGAATTGACATTTCTCCAAAGAAGATATGCAAGTGTCCAATAAGCACATGAAAAGATGTGCAGCATTAGTCATCGGGAAATGCACATCAAAACCACTTCACACCCACTAGGATGGTTATCAAAAAGATGATAACTAGTGATGATGAGGATATGAGGAAACTGGGACTCTTTGTTGCTGGTGTGAATGTAAAATGGTGCAGCTTCTTTGGAAAACAGTTTGGCAGCTCCTTACTAAGTAAACAAGAGTTTTTTGATATAGCAGTTTCACTCCTAGTGATATACCCAAGAAAAACAGAAACGTCCTCATAGAACAATGTACACAAATGTTCATAGCAGCGTGATTCATAATAACCAAAAGTCAACCCAAATGTCCTTTAACCAACATGGGTAAGCAAAGTGGTTTATCCTTGCAATGAAGTATCCACAGTTTAAGAGCGGGAAAAGCTATACATCTTAACCACTAATTGCTCAGAGCAGGGTTGGGGGACAGTTTGCTGAAGTACAGGAAATCAGTTCGATCTGTGTGTCACCACTACTCCTAGTTCTCTGAATCTTCTCTAATGATTTAAAAGTGATGGAGTTCCATCATAGACACATGTGCTATGATGTGTCTGTATTTTAAAGTGTAGTTTGTACATTTGTGCTCCTAGAGAGAGGCGACGACGACGCAGCAGGAGTGGCACAAGATCTCCTAAAAAGCCGAGGTCTCCTAAAAGAAAACTGTCTCGCTCCCCATCCCCTAGGAGGTAAGAATGATTCCCATCCTTTCTGTTTTTCAGAAACTCGGTTTTTGTTTTAAAAACTCTCCTAGAAAGTTGTCTTCCTTTTCAGAAAAGTGCTTCTGAATGTGCTGGTACATTATTCCCTTTATGACTGGATACTGTGTTGTGATAAACACTGTTGAGGTTTGGACATTTCAGACTTTTATAACCAAGTTAGTCTGATGGTTTGAAATTGAATCTTTGTTGTCATCTTTGTGTCATGTGAACTTGAGTCAAGCTCATCTAAACAAATTAAACTTACTGATATACTTACAAGTGAAATTTGAGTGTTTTCTTTAAAGCATCTTTTTTTAAGAACATTTTACTGTCTTCCTAGACACAAAAAGGAGAAGAAGAAAGATAAAGACAAAGAAAGAAGCAGAGATGAAAGAGAACGATCAACAAGCAAGAAGAAGAAAAGTAAAGATAAGGAAAAGGAGCGAGAAAGAAAATCAGAGAGTGATAAAGATGTAAAAGTATGTTTACAAACTAATTTATTTTGGTATTTTGGGTGGTGCTAGTACTGGTAAGAAGTGATTCTTCTGTGAAGACGTTTACTTGTGTTATTCTCCCTGGCAAAGCAGGTTACACGGGATTACGATGAAGAGGAACAGGGGTATGACAGCGAGAAAGAGAAAAAAGAGGAGAAGAAACCAACAGAACCAGGATCCCCTAAAACAAAAGAATGTTCTGTGGAGAAGGGACCCGGTGATTCACTGCGAGAATCCAAAGTGAATGGAGACGATCATCACGAGGAAGACATGGATATGAGTGACTGAGTGTTGCCTCTGGGGATCCAGCTGTACATGCATCAGTGTCATTCCTTTGTGTGATTTCTTAATGCTGTATTTGTTCATCTCAAACCTAGATGTACACAGCTCTGAGTTGTAAATGGTTATAAAGCTCCTGGTATCAATATTAGTTATTTACATCCAAAAGCTTTAGAAAATGATACCCAGGTACCAGTCCTTGACATGGTGAAATCCGATTGAGTAACCAAGCAGTTTTACTATTCTGGTGCTGCTTCACAGCGAACACGAACAGCTGCATGCATCGACAGCAGGCATGGATTGTTTATGTTGTATGACCTCCTTCATTAAGTAAGTTCACTTATAGCATTTCTAGGATTCGATTCATTGCCGTAATAGAGTCATGTAGGGAATGCACTGATTGCATGTTAATTGTGGCAGGAATATCCTAAATGTCATTAAAATCCTCCAACATGATGGATCTACTTATGGTCTTGTTTGTTGACATGACAAATTAACATTCTTATAGTTACATCTGGAAATAAGCATTTGAAATAGATAATCCTTTAAGCCTTGTGGCTAAATTTTTGTGGCTTTTGTTTAACTTTGAAAGGTTGTATATGCACTAACCTTTTTTTGATGGCTAATTAGGCTTTTAATTACAGAAACAAGATTTCAATTGGAAACTGTCTTTGGCAGTGAGTAAATAGCATATTTTGAAGTAGAGTTATATACTTTTTTCATAAGGTGTTTGGGAATTTTTTTTCCTGACATAATTTATTCCACACCTACATCAGTGAAAGCTATCTGCCTATCCTGAGTCCATCTGTAAAAGTTCTCTCTTGTCCTGATTTTCAATTTTCCACTTTTATTAATTTGTTTTAATCTCAGTGTTGGAAAAGGGGTAGTGCATTTTAAATTGACCTTCATATGCTTTTAAAATAAGATAAATGTACTTGATAATGTACTTTTTATTTGATCTCAAGTTGTATAAAACCAATAAATTTGTGTTACTGTTTCTGCAGTAGTAATCTTACGCACACAGTGATTCCATGTTAAATGCAAAGTAGTTAGACAACTGTTTTCTTAGTTACAGGAGTTTCAAGCTTCACTTTTGTGCAGTAAAAACAAAAGTAGGCTAGTCTGTGCCATGTTGATGTACAGTTTCTGAAATTGTTTTACAAGACTTTGATAATAAAACCCTTAAACTTATGTTCATGTCCCTGTAAAACTGATTTGTATTTATTTATAAGCTGTTGAATGTATGACATTTACCTCATTCATTTTACAAATCAAGTTCTTTCCCCTTTCAATCCACATATTTACATAAAATCGCTGCAGCAATTACTTGCCATGAGAATTGTCAAAGTTGGTTTAATTTCTATCTAAAACTGTCTTTTTCTTAGTGTAATTTTATTTCTCATATTTGGGGTATAGGAATTGGGTTGAGTAAAGCAGTGAAATTGAGGATAAACACATGATCCTACCTGTATCTAGTAAATTTATTTTTTTTGGTAAAATATATTTGCCTTTGCTGGAATAGTAGAGCAACTGTCAATGGTATGTAGTTACTGTACAATGCTAAATAGTATATTCATTTATGAAATGTGTAGTTGGAGTGGCTGGGATTAAGGAGAAAATGAGAGTTGGAAATAACAGCTTTCATCCAAGTTTCTGATTTTTTTTAACAAAATCGAAATGCCATATAGACAAGCAGCATTGTTTTTACAGTTTGTAGTTAAGTAACTTTTTAAAGATTTTATCAAAAGGAATTTTGTCTATAGCTAAAGGAGTTCTAGTAATTGTCCTGATAATCATTGCATTTTTAAACAGATGAATGCAAATGACATTTGTTTAAACTTATAAAAACTTTTTTAGCAGATAAAGGTTGAAACATCTGCCATTTTTATAACTCAAAACAAGTAAAATACTGGCAGTTTCACCTGGTTAAACCTAATATTACTCAGTCTCTTTCCTCACTTGTAATCTCTGAATACAAATAGACTAACCTTCCAAAAAGGATTAAGAAAGTTTGGGCTTTAAAATAGTGTCACTGATTTAAGATGCTACAGTGAAGGGAAGCCATGTTGGGTTTTTTCCAGTGAACACAAAAGGGATGCATGGGGACACGAGCCTTGATCAGAGACGACCGTAGTTGACATCAAGTGAACACTGCCTCCACACCGAGTTTTATTCTGTATTTAGTAGTACATGATTAAAAAATAAAATGGTTTTGTTAGAAAAATGTCTGTCCTATTTATTTGCTTAAGTTCTTTAGGAGTGAAAGAGAGGTAGTGGCTATGTAAGTCCAGTCATCAGTTTTGGCTTCACTTACAGCTGGAGAGACAGACCTGTTTAACGTCGTTCCTAAAACAGGAGTGATACCTATCTGGCAGTGTAGTTGGTAGTTAGAAAAAGAAAAAAAAAAAACAGGCCTATGTTGCCTGGGTCAGTAAATGGTCAGTCATGGAGCTTTTCAAAACTATACAATGATTTAGTTTGGGGGGTAATATTTTAGCAAAAGCACTAAGATAATTGATTGCAGGTAAGACTTTCAGAAGGCTATGTTGCCCTGTTCACTTTTGTGAAGATGAGTTTTGAATAGTAAGTTGCCTGGTAGTGATTACAGTATATGCATGTGGATGGTAGATGAATGTTAGGTACTTAGGAGTAGGAAAACTGCTATTCGAACAGTAAAAACTAATTTAACTTTGGAATTGCATCATACAACTGAGTAAAGCTTTGGCTCCTACACAAGCCAGCTTTACTAAACCAGCAAATAATTCTTGCCTCAATGCTTAAGGTCCCTCCCTGCTGTTTGAAGATTGACAGACATCTTTTTAAATGAATTTAGATGTCTTTTGTCTTGAAAAGAGCGAATGCATCTATCTCATCCTAGTGCTATCGAAAGTATTTCTCTAATCAAGTACATATAGTTTGGTTAAACATGAATATAGTGGAAATGGCTACTGGTATTTCTAAGCGTCCAGAATATGTCCATCCCCAAGGCTTTGTTAGCAGAAGTTCTTTCTTAAATGAGACCAATTCTGCAGGTGTAGATTTTTGAGTCTGTTTTACTTTTGTTATTATTTTTTATGTCAGAGTACATTAAATCCATTTAGAAATTCTTTGGCAAAACAACATGTGAACCATTCTAATTGTTTACCGGCGGGAATATGGTTCATATACATAAAGTGTATAGTAGATGTTACTAGCAATTTAAGACAGTTCCCAGAAAGGATCTGAAATAACATTTTGTAAATGATGTAATTACAAAAATAATTGGGGAAGTGACATGTTCACATTCTTTTCAAAACAGTCTCTCTCTAAAGGTTATTTTCCCAGTGCGCTGTCACTAAACTTAGTATCATGTCTTTTTCTTAAGAGCTAGTTAGCTAAAGTATGATTTGTGCATAAGAAATTGAAGGTCTAGGGTCACAAAGGATGGAAAGCTCCAAATGTTAAATATTACTGTTCAGTGACCACAAGATGTAATTTTATTGCTATACTAAATATTAAAAACTGCCGTTTTTCACTATGAACAAGCTAACACTTAAAATTTGCTTCCTTAAATATCAAGTTTTAGAAGATAAGCATGTAGATTAAGAATATTTTCCTCACCAGTCAGCAATCAAAGGAGCAGTACCACTAGAAAAAAAATTTGTTATAGGAATTGGACTTTGATTGTGGAAGCTGGTTAAGTTGTCTCAAAGCTTTTTATTGTCTTCGTGTGCTGAGATGGAAGCCCACAGGCAGTCAGGAAGGGAAGATGGGTCGCTGGAGTGGGAACCAAGCACAAGCTGGAACCCACAAGGATGGGCTGAAACTCAGGTCAGGTCTTGCTTCTGACCTGGGTAGCATGGCAGAAGCCAGAAAGAACCTTTCAGAATTGCTGAGTCACTCCTGCTCTCCCAAAACCACCCATTTTCATTAAAGCATCCCAACCAGTCATCTTCAGTCTTCTTTAGTGACCAAGAATGCTGTGAAGGTACAGGTGTATATATATTTTGTATTACACAAAGCTTTTATTTTAGGCCGATTAGTCTTTTTCACCTGCAAAAGATCAAATTCAGGAATCACTGCCAAGTACCTTTCTTTAAAACCCTTAGGAGATTTTGCTTCACTCTCGTGGGTGCTGTGGCAAAAGTGGAATTGAAATTCTGTGTTCCATAGATGCCATTATGGCTAAAAGTGTAAAGGTGAAACAGGAGTCGATTATTTAGTTAAGACGTAGCTAGTTTAGTTTAATCCACCCTGATAACTCAGCTGTTTTCTCTTTATTTATCCCCTAAGAACTCTGTTTTGTTCCCTTTCTTAAGGCTACACATACTTCATTAATCCATTTAATCAACAGAATCTTAACCTGAAAAGAGCAATTTCTTAATCCTCAGGCAACCAGACACTGGAATCCATTTTGCAACTCCGTAGCAGTTTTTACTGGTGATGCATCAAGCCCCAGGTCCTGGTGGCCGAGTCAGGAGGTAAAATTAAAACAGATCAGATCCCAGGACGAGACATCATCCCTCAAGGCAGCTCAGACCTGCCTGACCGACTCCCCGTTCCTTTGTTCTTCCTGTGTACCCATAAAACCTTCTGATGGGTCTAGGAACTGGGAGATGGCCTTTGGACAGGAGTCCGCCATCCTCCCAGAATGCCAGCATTCTGAACAAACAGGCTTTTCTTTCCACCAACCTGGTCTCGATTTTTAACTTTTTCAAGCAGCAGGCAGCCGGACCTTAGCACAGTCACAAAAGTACTATTCTAAAATGAGCTTATGATAATTTTTAAAGTTCATCGCTCAGTAGTACTGTAAATGATGAGGGTCACATCATCTAAAAAATGCAGTAATATATGAAATGACATTTTAGAAAGTGTTAGGTTTTTGAATGTTACAGACCTTGACTTAATGTTAGCTCTCTGAATGTTAGGTCTCAGAGACCTTGACTTAACAGACAGAACCTGCAAGAAAACAACAAAATGTCTGTTGGCCAGCACCTGCAGACATAACCCATCTTGAGATAACAAAAAACACCACAAAACAGCTACTGGCTTACAAGCTGGCATTTTCTGTTCAAACAATGCTACCCTGTCGGCACCGCGCCCCTATATAACCCTCCTCACCCCCTCCCTCGGGGCTGCAAGTCTCCTGCAGCCATCTTTGCTCAGCCGATAAGACTCAATAGGCTTTCTTAAACTTTCTTAATTTGTCTGACCATGCGCGGTCCTTTACCGGTCGACCTATTAGATAGTGACTGTCAATACTATTGCCCTAGATTTCTGACATAAAATGCTTAACAAAAGTAGTTTTTGCTAATTCATAGTATGCAAATGATGGACTTTTAAGTTTAGTTTTGCTGTCTTTTACAAGTAGTTTAATCTCTCCTGTCCATTTATTTCTAGGCCAAGTTTCACTGTCAATTATCTTTGTTTCCATAGTTTTCAAATATAGCAACTTTGGTAAGGATGCATTTTGTTAATTTTTAGAAAACATGGTTGGGGTACCTTTTGCCAGAGTTAACAGCAGAGGGCCTGTTGTGTCCCATACTAAGCAGCAATTCTTACTCCATTTTAAAGACTAGCTAGCCTATTACAGGCAGGACTTCTAATTCACCTAGTTTTCTACAACTTAATCAACTATGCTGTTTGCAAATAAAAACAAATGAGCAAATGATGAGACAAGAGTTAACGGGCATGGGCTTGCAAGCTAGCAGGATGGAACAGGCAGAGTTAACAGAGCGAGCTTGTGGGCTAACAGCAACGAGCTTAAACATTAACCACTGGGCTCTGACTCCCCTGGCCAGCCCTGCACCAGCTGACTGACAAGCACCATCATAGGTGAGAACAGAACAGTTCCATGGTAACCCCCTGCACAGAACACCCATCATAGATGGGGACAGAATGGTTCCCGATCGCAACGGCAACCCCCTGCAAGCTGACATCCATCACAGATGGGAACAGGACAGTTCCCAGGAGAAGACAATTGTAACGGCAGTCCCCCCCCTCCCCCTCCCCTAGCCCCGCAAGCTGACCAGCACCCTACAATCCAGCACTCCTTCTCACCAGCGCAGCTGTCCTCCATCGGACTCTACCGTGGCTAAACCCCACTTTGCCAGTATCTCTCTCTTACCCATCTCCGCAGCGCTCTCTCAGATGACCCTGGAAAACTTCTGCCAGTAACCAACAGAACTCGCTCTCTCACTTTTTGACGTGCAATAAATCTTTTCTCTGGATACTCTTGTAGAGTCTCGTAAACCCTTTTACAGTCTGCGAACGACCAGGGTTTAATTCTACGCCAAGACAGCAAAAGGAAGCACCCCTTCCTTCAGTCTGAAAATATTTACTCCAGCCCTTTTGTGGCCTTGAAACAGGATCACTAATCGTTATTCCCATCCTCCCCCAAGGTGTGACTCAAAAACTACACGAATAACACTATACAAACCCATTTCTATTAGTGTGAGTGGGCCTCAGTAACAGTTCTAAGCATGAGAAACTAAGTTGTTTTCAGCTTCTGCCGGTTATCAGCCTCCTGAAATGTATTCATTTCCAGACCAGTACATGTGCCTAGACTCACAAACATGGCCTTACACATCTGCTTTACGCTTCCTTTTCATGACGTCTGACAATTTTCTGTATGTGGCCATCTACAGACAAGGCAAATTGTCTCTAGGGAACTATCTTCTTTTGATACCACACTGGTGGCAGGAACATTGAGCATTTCTAAATAGTCATTTAAGGTGACCATTTTATGGTCCCCCAGGTTTAAACAGTTTCTTCAATCACAAATAGCCGGCTATCAAATTTTATGAACCTACATTACAAAATCTAGGTTTTCGTGTGAAATTAAAATATAAGATGCTTTGATTTACTTAACTTGAAACATTAACCTATGACTTCATTCATTCACTGGATTAAAAGGCACACTCTGAAAAGTCTAATAATGTGAAAAGTTTATTTGCATTAATAACTCCTTGTTTACACCATCATAAGAGATACTGACATTTGCTTGTCCTTTGTGATCAAATAAAAGACATTTGGAATGGACAATCTCTACTATTCTTTATGAAAGAAAAAGATAAAAGAGTTAGAAACAAAATCCAAGTGCAAAAGTTTTCAGTAGTCTTCCTACCTCCAGTGTACCCCAGCAAAATATTCACAGCTTTTATGAAATTGATAAATCCCCAGCTGGAGTTTACCATGTTTTTCCCCCCACTAAGTTGCCTGTACCTATGAAAAACCTAGAGCAGAGTCCTGAAAGTATACCCCACTCCCACAGAGTAAGGGAGCCTAAAAGCAATGGTGATCACTGCCGTTCAGTGTCTCAATAGTTCAAGTTCCATGATTTATAAGCATTCCCAAAATAATAGGGATCAACTTCTATTCAATAAACCTAGTCTCATTTACCAACTCTTTCCACAAAATTCAACAGACCCACATCAGGTAGTATAGTAGGTCTTTGAATTTCTAACTGTGATTATTCTTCTTCATTATAAAATGTATTTAATAAAATGTCAACATATGCAATGTAGTATGTTATCAGCATGGAAGATGCAGCTCTGAAGATGTTTATTATAAAAATGTTCTTACGATTGATGCTCTGGATTTGTAAATACTCATCTCTTCAATAAAGGTCTCTAAACTCATTCAAATTATTTCAAATCCTGGAAAAAGTTTAAACTATTGGTCACTCTATAAAATCTGACAGATGCATTCTGACACATTTATCAGGGTACATTTAAAAAACATTTCTTTAGCTAAGGTTTTTAATACAACATTTTATGACTGTTATACATTATTCTTCCTAATTTATTTTCATTCTTGGACCATCAAACCATCTTGGAATAAATATAAAAAATTTTAAGTGCAAAACTGAGTAATGCATGATTTTAACACTTTGGAGATAATTAAAACCAATAAATATTTTATTGTGACTAAAAATATAAACAGTAGGAATTGTCAGTCTTACGTATGTTTCTGGAATTTAACTGATAACAATATATTCTGTTAGCATATAAAATGTGTTTACCTTACTTTGAAAGCTTTAAATACATAGGGATGTTCAAAATATGTGGGTTTAAAACTGACACGAATGCATCCATAGTCCACTAAAAACAAACAAAATAACCAGAATGATGTGTACTTTCTAGGAAGCAAGTTTAAAATTTTGGAATTTTTTTTAAAGTGCTGAGATTTGGAAGAGGAATACCTTTAAGCATGCTAACCATACCTTACCATGAACACAGAAACGACTCTTAAACTCAAGTTTAGAAAAAAAAATAATACAGATTCTATGAAAGCAAGATTAGTAACAAACGTTTCCCATTGAAGAAAGAATTCAGGTAAAAACAAATAGCACCACAATGAATTGCACTAAGGTGCTAAAGGAGGTACCTTATTCCCTGCAGAGTGAACACTCCTTCTGAATGTATTGCAACATATAAATGCAATTGTTTAATGGTTACCATTTGGTTCATTCATCTACAGAAAACTGCATTCCTTCTGGTTCATTATATTGAACAAACATTCAAATTACTGAATTATACATAATGTTACATAGTTTACATTTTATGAAAACAAAGCTTGAAGGAATATTTATAAATGTCACCTTGAATATAAGATGACAAGTTTAAAAGGGTTTCATATCTCTTAAGACATTTATGTTAATGGTCCAGGAGTGTTTTAGATATAGCTATAGATATAGATATATTTATATGCACATATATTTCACAAGAAGTGTAAAAATTTTTAAAAACAAATCACAGCACTCATAGCTGTTTTACATAAGAAGTACTTAGGGTCATTAAGGTGTCAAACTATTACACTATAATATGTATATTTATAAAAAGACTGAAATTGTCACATCAGGAAACGTGCTGAAATTCTTATCCAAGGCCTATTTCACTCTATCATATTACTGATGTGTCAATTCAGTATAATTCCCTTTTCTTCACTGAAAGCATCTGTCCCTCCTATTTGGATTTCTTCTGGGTCTCTGCATTCTCTTGCTTTCCTTGGTTAGACTGCATCGTGTTCCATGTGTTCCATGTCAGTTACAGATCAGGAAAACGGCTTGGGTCTTCCTTGTAGTCGTCAGGTATTGTAAAGATGGAGCCATTAAATTCATCATATCGAAACTCCTGAAAAGTCACAGTGGCTGTGATCGTAGGAAACACGGGTATGTCTAAGAGAGGACAATCAATGATAACATTGTAAAATGAAATGTTAATCCATTTATAGACTATAAAATACTATTAGAGATATCCATACTCCTTAAAATGTAAAAAAACAGTATTCAAGCAGCAGACAAATCCTAATACATGTTTATCACCGAGTGCGTGTGTTGTGGGGAAGGATTTGGTCATTGGTGAAGTGAGGAACATACTAAGGCATGAAGAATTACATAAAAAACTCAAGTTCCGGGCCAGCCGAGTGGCGCGATGGTTAAGAGCTGGCTTGGGACGCCAGAGGGCCCCGGTTAAGATCCCACATATGAGGGCCAGTGACACTGCCCTCCACAGCTAAGATGCTGAACAACAGCTCAACCTGGAGCTGGGCTGCCATGAGTCGCCGGCGACGGCGTAGGCTGCAGCCCCTGTGGCAGTGGGTTGCCATGGGCTACCGTATGTAGCCAGCAGCCAGCGTGAGCGGCCAGCAGCCGCAGTGAGCGGCCGTCCAGAAGCCAGCGACTGATCTGCCTCGCCCGGGAAGAGCGCAATGATGGTGCCAACTTGGGCCAGTGAGGCAACGTCCTCCACAACTAGACTGAAGAACAAAAACGACAGCAACTTGTCTGTTCCCCTTCCCCCAATTCCCCAGCACTGTTCCCATCCCCCCAATTCCCCAATAAAAATCTTAAAACAAAACAAAACAAAACAAAAACAACTCAAGTTCCCATTGCTTCCCAATCTTAGAACTATAATACCAGGTTCTACCAGTTTTCTGTCTTATTCTTGGGGCAAAGGGACAGCTGCCATCTTTTTGCATGCTGCCATCTTTTCTTCAGATTATAGTACACGTATTATTCTGACTCTGAGCTGATTTTTTTTTATTCCAAAATAAATAAAATACATGGATCCTTCTTTGCTTTAAAACACTAAAAACAATCCACCACTTTATAATATATGGGATAAAAATAGTCTCATCAGAATTGGATTAACATCATGCCACCACAGCCTAATAATCTTCTATATAAAAAATATTTCTGGTTGCAGTTATGAGAGAAATCTGACATTAAAAATGGCCAAATACTTTAATCACTCTGCTTGGTTTTATTCCTAATATGAGTAATTAGAAAAAATACAAATCCTAAAATATGGGTTAGGATTCCTACAAATCAACTAACTTGCACGCCTCAGGAATTTCATCTACCAAATAAACTCTAAATCATCGTTAAAACAGAAGCTAAGTTGAGGGTCTAGGATAAAGGCATACAGTAAATTAAGTTTCTCTGACTGTTAACAAACCTAGTATATTATTGCAGAAAGTAGTATTCTTATGAATAAAAAAATTAAACACAGAAATCAACATAAGGATTACAGAATTGTGTTAGTTCTGGGGGAAAAAACTATTTATTTGTGCCTATTAAATGCAGATGACATTCCTATTCAGGTGTCAACAAACTAAGGCCCACTCCCTGCCTGTTTTTGTAAGGCCTATGAGATAAGAATGGTTAAATAAATACACAAAATAATATTTGTGCCAAGAAAATTACATGAAATTGAAACTTCAGTGTCTGTAAGTAAAGTTTTATTGGAACACAGGACACCATTCATCTACCTATTATTGTCTATGGTCCAAGAATGAAAATAAATTAGGAACAATCATGTATAACAGTCATAAATGTTATGTTGTATTAAAAACCTTAGCTAAAGCCTAAAGAATGTTTTTAATTGTATCCTAATAAATGTCAGGATACATCTGTCAGGTTTTATAGAGTGACCAGTAGTTTAAACTTTTTCCAGGATTTTAAATAATTTCAATGAGTTTAGAGACCTTTACTGAAGAGATGATTATTTACAAATCCAGAGCATCAATCATAAGAACACTTTTATAATAAACATCTTAAAAGCTGCATCTTCCATGCTGATACATATACACTGCATATGTTGACATTTTATTAAATGCATTTTATAATGACTAAGTAGACAAAAATAAAGCATGGTGGGGAGACAGGGAGCCCCAGTGTTTGAGGGTTAGAGTTCTTGAACACTGTGGCAAAGGAAAACCTTCACAGAGTGACCTTTCAGCAAAGACCTAAGCTATTTTATTTGGCTGGTTGAATTTTAAAAGAAGAAAGACCTGAACAAAGCCTAAAGCTAAGAGGAAAAAGTCAGTAGAGAAGGGAGTTGAAAAGTAAAAAAGAAATGCACAGAAACTGATAGAGCAAGCTCTTTAGAGCTGGGAGAAGAGATCCACAGTGCAAATGTCTCCACTACTGAAGCTAAGAAGAGGGCACTGCTTCCACTGAGACAGAAAAGATGGAGGACAAGAGAAGGCTGGGGCCAGCAAGTCTGTGTGGGTGGAGGGAGGTCTCATTTCTGCTAGTTTTTTTTTTTTGTAACTAAGGCAGCAAAAATCTCTTAGATTGTGGGAGGAAGTAGTGGGAGACGATGGAGACTGGTAAAAGAAGTTCAAATTTAGCCTTTTTTTCCAGGGAGAAGGAAATCAGATAAGATTGTTCATAATCATTTTTTAAAGCTCTGGCTGACTGTGAAAAAATGTAATTGTCTTAACAATTTCCAAATTTTTATAATTTCCCCCCTCGATTGTATTTTTCAGCCTAAATACAGAAACAGAAATGGTGGAAAATTAAAATGATTGAGGACTGGAGTTTCACAAGGTTAATTCAAAAGAAGGATGAAGAGACGAGAGATAGGTAAGGAAATTACTGATAACTGTAAGTATAAAAGCAAAAGACTATCAATCCCTTGTTAAGATGTGGCACTATATCAGAGAAATGCTTCGAAAGAAGTAGACTTTTTTTCCTTTCCATAGAATCAAAATATTTCTTTTGCATAAAAATTTATATTGAATGTGGGGTGTGATTTGAGTTTGGGGCTTAAATAGATGTGAAAACAGGGAAAGTTCATAATTCTCATATATTCAATTGTCCTCTATTCTCATGTGTCACTGTGCCTCTTAAATACAATACCTAGAAAGGAGTCCAATGCTTGAACTAGCACTGACTACAGAAAATCACTGTGCAATTTTCAGCTTCTGCAGAAATGTTCATGTAATGATCCCATATCTATAGCTAAAACATTCAGGTCTCGACTGCTTTGGTTTTCTAACCATTTCTGCCAAGATCTTATAGTGGTTTCTTCAAGGAGACATTGGGTTCCCAGTGATTCTTCATCACAAAGGGAATCTAGAGTGACATTTTGAAAACACACTTTAAAACCATTTTAACCCACCAAATGCTTGTTTCCAAGTTTGGAAAGTTGAGTTCAGGTTTAATTTTTAGCAATGAAAACATTATTTCTGGGCCTAATTACTGAGATGTGGTTTCAGTAATACTGAATGAAGCAAGATAAAAAATATATATATCTGAGGAATTATATAAACATATTTCCTATATGCTTATTTTGCTCTCCCACTAGAATGTAAACAACCAAGAGGGCAGGGACTTTTACTACCTTTCACCCCTAGAAAAGCACCTGGCACGTTGCAGGCACTGATTAAATATTTGGTGGCTGGATCAATGGATGGTATTGAAGGCTCTCCTGCAGCTTCAATTAATGCTAAATCTAAGCCGAAACTCCTAAAGAACCTTTTAATAGTCTCTTATTCCCAGTTTTCTGATACAGTGAAGAAGATAAAAATATACAAAAATGAGAGTTTACTGTTTATAAAGATCATTGCTTAAGATGACATTAAGTTTAAATATCTAACACTGAAAATAGAATGTATGAGTATTACTTTATCTATAAATAGTGACTGTTGACTCCAGAAACATGCCCAGCTCAGAAACTCAAGTTTGCTAAAAAATTGGGCTAAAATCCAGTCTTCCTATTTCACTTTAAAAACATTATCACAGTGCATCCTAAGTTCACCCACACACTCCTGTAAGAAGTACTTGCATATCCCATACATTTAATTTAAATGAAGTAGAATTAGAACTCTCATCAGGTACTTGATATATCCGACAAAATCTGAATATCAAAGCATGTAATTACAGAAAAACTTCTTTAAATTTTAGCAACTAGGTAATCCATTTTCTTTCAAAGCATATTTCTTATTAAATGTCAATAAACAGCTCCATGTATCTAATAGACATGGAAATTGTAGTAATTTTTCTCTTACCTAGTTTTACAGGAAAGCCTGGAGGAAGCTTCATCTGAACAAATTCTCTAAGCTTGTTAAAGTGCTTAAAGGGAGCTATTACTTCCAAAACATTCAATAATCTGAAAAATGGAAGGAGAAAAAAATGTTTTCATTTTTCAAATGGATGTCTGTGTGTCCTTATACTGTTTTATGACCACAAGCTTCAAACTCAGACAGTATTACTAGATATTAAGGATTAGGAAATGGTACTTCATCTTTCCTCCTGATTTTTTTGTTTTCATTATTCTTTTTACTGTTTATAAACATTTATCATTCTTACAACTTTATAACTTTTACATTTTATTGTAAAGTTTATAACTTTTGCATTTTATTGTACAGTCATAATTTCCACATTTACTTGATTTTAGTTCTATATTTAAATGGATTCAAGGCTGACACCCATCTTCTTCAAGTTTACTTCTTCGAGTTCTTTAGACTCACTGTTTGGGTGCCTCAATGTCATTGTCAATTTTTTGTGTGTGATGGGCTCTTATGTGCTTAATATTCCTGATTTCTTGCAGATTTGATAAATGAGTGTTTCTTTTTTTGCATATTTAAAGGGAAATTTGGCTGGCATAAAATTTTAGTTTATACCTATTTCCCTCTAAACTACAATTTCATAATGTTTCCTAGCATTCAGTATTGCACTAGTCAGGATACTATAACTTCTTTCATCTTTTGGTTGGATGGATTTCATTTTTAAGCAGTATTTTTCTTTCAAAAAGGGTCCATGGCTGCTATAATTCTTAAATTCTTCTGTGTCTTTTTCAAATGCCTTGGCATGTAAATGGCATCTCAGCTAGACATACTATCAGATCACACTTTCTTTGCCTCAGAAATGTTAAGATGTGAAAAAATGTAGGCCAGGCTGTTTTTTTACCTCTTTTCTACATGAATGACTTTAGACTTCTTTATTAAAAACTGAAGTCAAATACTTTAATAAAAATAATTAGTTACCAATCATTCTCTTATCACTTTTTCTTGGAGCCTGTTATGCTACACATTCAATTCTTTCTTACAGAGAAATTTTCTTCTATCATATTTGGATTACTATTTTGGTTCCCTTTTGGAAGCTTTCTATATTAGTGGCACACTAATGGTCCTTATGTTGAATGATCTTTGTTACCATAAATATTAACTTCTCTGATTACTTTAACCTTTTCTTTCACTGCATTTACTATGAGCTATCAAATTTTAATTTTCTGCCATGTCTATTCTGTTCATTTGTTGTTCCTAATGTATTTGCTTTGCAACAGTGCTATTTAGTACTTAATTTATTCCCTTTGATTTACAATTTCCTTTTCATTTCATTCTATTATCTTATCATCTTCTCATAGAGTGATCTTGTTGACTCATTTCACATTTTTAAATGTTTTTCTATAGCATTTACAAGGAACTTTATGTTCTTTGACCTATGTTTTATTCTAGAATGAATTCTTTGTCTGACTTTTACATGCTGTGTTCTTTATTTTACTTTTTTCCATGGGAAATGGTTATAAATGCCACATTTATAAGCTATACCCATTTTTTTCACATATTAACATCTCTGAAATTGTGATGACTCCTAAAACTGATAGCATCTTATAATTAACCACATTGATCTTCTTTATTAGAATATAAAACTAGTGAATCTTTGGTCCAAGATATGATGAATTGTGCAGATTTGTATGTATGGCTAACTCCCTTCCCATATCTTCTGGGAACTATCTATCTATCTTCCTCTCTGATCTATAGCTTGAGGGCTGTATATATAGCACAATCTATCTATTTTTCTGACGTTTGGCTACTGGGGAGTATAATAAATGTAGAAAAAGGTAGGTCCTGCTCTCTTGTATGAAAATTTTATTTTAATGTATTAGGCCAGATTGTTAGGAAAGGGAAAATAGCCTAGGGCTTCCATTCATCCCATACTTTAGTGGGGAGCCTGAAATCACAGTTCTGTCCGAGTCAGCTCTAGCTACCCACCTCCCATTCCACCGATCTCTCCAAACTGATTTTTTTTTAAACTGGACATCTGATGAGTACATGTTTGAGAAGATATATTCAAGATGTCCACTTCAGTATTGTTTATAATGGTGATAAACTACAATCCAAATATTTATCAGTGGGGGATGCAGGGGTGATAAAATAAATTATCGGTACTACAAAATACCAAGAAGAAAACGATAGACTAAAAAGTAATTATTGTAAGAACTGCAAGATACACTTACTTTTAAAAGAAAAAAAAGGAACTCAGAGAACAAATGTAGGCTATGCCATTTTAATAGAGAAAAATCTAGATAAAAATATACCAGTTACTCACCTATTAACTGTCAGTAAAGTGCAAGTAAACTGTCATTTTTATCCTATAAACTTCCATGCTGTTAGTTTTTATAATATGCATGTATTCATGTATTATTTTTATAATAAAATAACTATTCAAACATTTGTCTGGTTAAAATAAAAATGTTAATATTTTGTGAACTAGAAAATTCCTAGAAAGGTGCACACACCATCAAAGGGATGGCTACTGGCTTTTACATCTCAAAGGTCTCAAAAGCACCACTCAGATGTAAATATTACTACAGCCTTTAGGGTGTAATAGCTTTCATAAGCTTGTATAGTTAGTAACAAACTTACAACTCAATTCTCAAGGGAAAGTCCTGGCTCATGGCTATCGTGGCTTTAAATGTTTTCTTACTCTCTTTGCACATCAGTTCTCTACCCAGGTGAGGAGCTCTAAAATGGGAAGAAAAAAAAATTAGGAAACGTTTTCCACGTGCTAGCATCTTCTTAAGAAGAATCTGTCATCTTCCAATGGCATTTATTAATATTTCAATTTTTCTTACTGAGTATACAAATAAATTAAAATGATGATAAAAGGGAATGAGATATGTATAAGAAGACAAGGTTAAAAAATAAAATAGCAAAGTGTAAAAAGTTCAGAAAAAACAATCAAAACTCAACAAATTTCACACTGAATGTAATTTTAATAATCACTATTTAGGAACAAAGCAAATCACTAAAAAAACTTTAAAATATCACTGTATATCTTAAAAATCACTTATTCAATTCCATCTTTTACTGTCTATAGTTCTCAGTATTGATTAATAAGAAATGATGTGAAGAATAAATTCTGTATTAACTATAGAATATTGTAAGACATTGGAAACATTTTGGAGAAGTTACAGTATAATAATAAACCTTTCAATACAAAAAATAAGAATCATTACAACTTCTTCCTAAGCGTGGAGGTAGGTAATATTTTATTCTCCACCAAAAGGAAATAGCATTTTCTACAAAGGACTGTACTTTCTTTCGCATGATTGGCCAGAAAAAACTTTTTAATTATTTATTCATTCAAAATATTTATCATTCATCATTCTTTTATTGAATAAATATTTACTGAATTCAAACTGTGAGCTAGGTACTCACCAAGTTTTAGTAACATAACATTAAGCAAATATCTCCATAAAGATGGTGAGAAGTAGTCTGGCGGCATAGGCTCAAAGAAAAGGGCACAATGACAGGAGTTTGGAAAGCAAAATGTAGATAAATAGTGAATGGCTTTACACACCACACTAAAGACTCAGGAGAGTAACAGGATACCAAAGTTCATCAGAAAATGGAAAAATTCAAATAAGCAACTGCACCGGACAGTTTCTCACTTCCGGAGAACAACGTCCTGTAGGTTTTTTGGCGTGTGTAAATAGGCAGCAGGGACATCAAGTAAAGGCTCTGTCACTTAAAGAATGAACATAGGCCAGCTGAGTGGCTCAGTTGGTTAAGAGCACGAGCTCTGAGCAAGAGGGTGGCAGATTCAATTCCCACATGGGCCAGTGAGCTGCTCCCGAGCTCAGCTGCTGCCACAGGTGGCAGGGTGGCTCAGCTGGTGCTGATTTGACTCCCGCATAGAATGGCGGGCTATGCCCACCCGCAACTAAGATTGAACATGGCACCTCGAGCTAAGCGGCAGCGAGCTGCCGACTGGCGGCTGGATGGTGACTGGACTTGGAGCTGAGCTAGCTGTGCCCTCCACAACTAAGACTGAAGGACAACACTTGGCTGTTCCCCTTCCCCAATAAAATCTTTAAAAAAAAAAAATTGAACATAACTGGGGACACTTCTCCCTCAACATGCCTAATCCATATTTTTAAAAGGTAAAAGAACTGCTTCAGACAAAACTACTACTAATTCTAAAACAATTCTACACCTAAATAGTCATGTTTCTACAATGTGTTCTTTTATAAAAACCAAATATATAAACAAAATAAAACAACAAGAAAAAAAGACTTACTTTCCATTTTCAGCAGATATATATTCTTCCCATGTAATAGTGTTCTGAGGGGGAGGGGTAAGGGACTGTCTTCGAACTGGCTGCCAAAAAATAAAAAAGAAAGAAAGAAAGAGTGATAGGGAGAGGGGGATAGGGAGAAATAGAGACAGAGAGAGAAAGCAAGAGAGACAGAGATACAGAGGGAGGGAGAAAAGAAAAATGTCATTTTAAAAAATATAAAATAAAAACATACAATAAAGTATTTAAACTACTAAACTACTTAATCTCTTCAATATAATGCTTTAAGAGGTTACTTCTGAGATAGTTCCATGGTGATTTAAACTCTATGAATAATATTTATTATCAATTTTTTGTTCTAAATCTCTAAGACGACAAGTATCCAAGTTATAAAATCCATTTATTCAATGTTTAATCATCTAAAATGTTCCTGGCATCATGCTATATGGTGAACACGGGAACGACAGACTTCAAGAAGTTTACAATTCGGAGTTGGAAAGAAAAAAATAGAGAGAAAGACATAACAGTTCATCATAAATACAAAATATTATATTATTAAAGGCCAAATGAGCTTAAAAAAAACTGACTAGGACAGGAGTTGAGAAAACAGAGCAATCTTCTATGGATAATAAATTCAGACTAAGGGACTGGGGCTCACATTTAAATGAAAGTAAAATAAAAAGAGTTTTAGACTAGGAGAATGGTGGAAAAACGCAAGTAGATTGATGTATTTGAACTAGGGAGGGAGGTTCTAAAGGGAGATGAACAACACTGGTAAAAGGTCATGCCTGATTTTAAAACTTACACCTTGTCTTTGTTAAATACGAATTTGGATCACTATAGGATGAACTGGCAATAAGGAACTAGGGAGGTGGCCATAGTAAGATAAACTGTGGAGCAAAAGGGTAATAAATGAAAACTGATGTGAATAACAAGATAAATAGTAACACTGGGAGAGGGTCCTATTCACAGAAGTACAGTTTTGGATACAGAGTCTAAGATATTAGCGGCATATCAGAGATGTTACAATCAAGGATTTCTGAAGACACAAAACTCAGTTGAAATCCCAGCTCCACAACTTAGTAGTGTGTGAATTTAGGCAAGTTACTCTCTATCATGTCAAATGAATTTATCTTTAATATGGGAGTATGACCATATACCTCACAGTTTAGAATTCAAGGAGATTATGTATGGAAAGAGCATACTGCCTGGCACAGAATAAAGGATTCAGAAAATAACAGGAACTATGATTATATACTGGGAAGTTCCGAGAGGGCAGTTACAAAAAGAGAAGGAAAGAAATCAGAGATAAAGGTTTAGGAATTCTCTGACTAGATGAAAAACAAGAAAGAAAATAAGAGGGCCGGCGGAGTGGCGCGATGGTTAAGAACTGGCTTGGGATGCCAGAGGGCCCCGGTTCGGATCCCACATATGAGGGGCAGTGACACTGCCCTCCACAGCTAAGATGCTGAACAACAGCTCAACCTGGAGCTGGGCTGCGGCAGTGGGTTGCCATGGGCTACTGTATATAGCCAGCAGCCAGCGTGAGTGGCCAGCAGCCGGCGACTGATCTGCCTCGCCCGGGAAGAGCGCAATGATGGTGCCAACTTGGGCCAGTGAGGCAACGTCCTCCACAACTAGACTGAAGAACAAAACGACAGCAACTTGCCTGTTCCCCTTCCCCCGATTCCCCAGTGCTGTTCCCATCCCCCAATTCCCCAATAAAAATCTTTAAAAAAAAAAAAAAAAGAAAAGAAGAGGGCTGATGAGTGATAAAACCATATACATTGTGGGGTGGAGGAGGATAGAAAGGAGCCAGATGTTAATAAGAAAAAAATTAGACCATCAAGGTCTCATGGGGGCCAAAAGGAAAGACTGTTCCAATATCATAATACAAAGATTTTAAAGAGAAAGAAGCTTGAAAAATGAGGGCATTCCATCCTTGAGAAGCTTAGAGACACACAGAAAGTAGATGATTATAATCCAGGGTAATGGGCGCTATGATATAGAGATCTAGAAGATGACATAAAAGCACAAGGAAGGGCCGGCCGAGTGGCTCGGTTGGTTAAGAGCTCGCTCAAGAGTGCTAGCTCAGAGCAACAGCGGTTCAAGTCCCACCCGAGCTGAGCTGCCGCTGAGCTGCCAACAGGTGAAAAAATGGCTTGGATAAACAACAACAAAAAAGCACAAAGAAGGGTTTCTGATTCAGATTGGGGTAGCCAAAAACAGGTGCCAATAATGGTGGTTCCTGAGCAGAGGAGTCTAAAAGACAGAGAGCAAAATAACTAGGAGAAGGAGACTGAGGAAAAGACGATGGTGAGAAAAAGCAGGCTATGCTGGGAAACTGCGAGTGTACTCTGACGAGTCAGTGTGAGTAGAATCCATAAAGAGAAAGCAGCACAATATAAGGGTAAATGGGCAAGACGCAGAAGAGAAAAGTAGTTTGAAAGTTTTGTGCAACATATACTTTATTCAGGAAGCAATGGACAAATATTTTGAGCAATATAATGTAGTTTTTAAACACAAACTTTGGAGCCAGGCTGATCAAATGCTAGCTAGCTTCACCAATTACTGGCTGACTTTGGACAGATTACTCAAGTTCTTTTGTCTTGGTTTAATCAACTGTATAACCTCACAGGGTTGTTAAGAGGTTAAAAATGGCTTGTTAAATACAGAGTACTTAAAACACTGCCTGATACATAGTAAGTCCTCTGCACATTTTAGTTCTGGAGCACAGGCATTAAATAGTTCGATCTATTTCAAGATCACCCTGGCAGCAGTGTGTAAGTTAGGAAGCGAGCTCAGTAATCCAACTGAGAAATGGTAAGGGCATGCTGTTTCAAAGCAGAAGTAGAGAAATGGATTCAAGAGATCTTTAAGATTTTGTGATTGGTCACATATAGGGGTAAGAGAAGCTAAGAAGTCTAAGAACAAATTTCAGGCTGCTGGCTTGGATGGTAGTAAATGGTGGTACCACTCAAGACAGAAAATAGGAAGAAAAAGGAAATTGTTTCATCAAATTTAGCAAATTTTGCTACATCATGGATGGACCAGTAGGGTATTATGCTAAATGAAGTAAGTCAGACAAAGACAAATACCATTTGGTTTCACATATACATGGTATCTAAGAAACAAAATAAATGAACGAACAAAAGGGAAACAAATCCATAGATACAGAAAACAAACTGATGGTAACCAGATGGGACAGGGGTTGAGGGGATGGGTGGAAAAGGTGAAAGGGATTAAGAAGTACAAATTGCCAATTAATAAAAATAGTCACGAGGATATAAAGGACAACATAGGGAATACAGTCAATAACATTGTAATAATTATGGATAGTACCAGATGGATACTAGACTTACTGGGGTGATCACTTAGTTACTATGTTGTACAACTAAAACTAATATAATATTATATATCAACTATAATTGAAAAATGAATTTTAAAAAATTTTAAACATACCAAAATTTAGATACCTATTTTTATTCAAGTGGAATTGGCAAAAGCACTATAGATCTGGTGATTAAGAGAGAGGTCAGAATTGAAGGTATATATTAGGAGAGTTACTAAGTGCTTATGTGGTAACTGAAGCATCAGGTGTGTATTCGTAGCTACTGATGAGATGTTAGTTGTCTACCTGGTATCTGTCCTTCTGTTTTGTTGTAAAAAAAAAAAACCTTCCCTTCCAAATTTTTGGTTGGACACATACATAACTTCCTAGTTAATGAAAAACGTCTTTTCTAGCCATCCTTGAAGCTAGCTGAGAACTACCATGTAACTAAGTTCTAAACAATATGTGTGCAACTTCTGACTGGGTTTTCAAATAGAACAGGCATGACCTTTCCTTCCTAAATACTATTAGTAATTACTACTCCTACTGGCTGGAATACTAAACAGGTAATAAAACATCTTATACGATGTGGATAAGGACTGGCAGAGAAATAAGACAAAACAGGCTAGTTAGGTCTAAGATTAACTCACAGAGAAACCTGAAAAAAAAAAATAAACTTCTATCTTGTTTACTGTTATTTTGGGATCTCTTTATAAGCAACCAAACATCATAACCAATACCAAATTTAATACACAAACTGGGATACTACACATAATACTATGGTATGTGGCAATGGCTTATCAGTAGAATGACAAGCAGACTTAAAAGGTAGTTAGTGACCTCATAAGTATTATGGCAAAACATTAGGTAAAACAGTGTCTTGAGATACTGCAAAAGGCAGACAAGGCCGGCTGAGTGGCATGTTGGTAAAGAGTTGGCTTGGGACACCAGCTCTGAGCAGCAGGGCCCCGGTTTGGATACCACATGCGCACTCTACAGCTAAGATGGTGAACAACAGCTCGACGTGGAGCTGGGCGGCCATGAGTTGCCAGCGACCTGCACAGGCTGCAGTGGGCTACCGAGAGAGGCTGGCAACCGATCTGCCTCAGCCGTGAAGAGCACAATGATAATACCAACATGGGCCAGTGAAGGAACGTCCTCCACAACTAGACTGAAGAACAAAAGGACAGCAGCTTCTCTGTTTCCCTCCCCCAATTCCCCAATAAAATCTTAAAAAAAAAAAAAAAAAGCAGACAAATAGATACATGCTAATAGCATCTGTAATTCTATGGGAAATGACTGGGAAAATGGAAAACTGCTGTTGTAACCCAGAACCATAGCAAAGGCTAATCCCACCTCTACTGAAATGTCTAACTAAGCAGGCCATGATCAATTTCTCTTTCACCACACTGCTTAAAATTTGTCTACTCTTGCTTCCAGTCCATGTAATACTTGTATATATTTGGCATAGCTGTTTGTGTTTGTGTGTGTGTGTGTGTGTGTGTGTGTGTGTGCGTGCGTGTGTGTGTGTGTGTGTGTAGACAGAGAAATGTACATGTATGCTATATATGTATATATTATTATATACACAAAGGAGTATATATTACCACAGTAAAGACTCGCTTGCAAGACATGATTAATGTGGCATGTCACATAAGTATATTTTTCCAGGTAATAAACTTCTCTAAGCAGTTTCTACTATTTCCAATAGAATTCGTTCTAAACTGTACATTATACATTCCCCATCTTAGT